GTGACTGTATTCCCAAGACACGTTAGCAAGACTCGGCGGTATGCGAGAGACGCGTTAGATGCAAAACGAAAAAGGCGAACCTGTAAAAAAAAAAAAAGCTAAAAATAAAATAAAGGAAAAGAGAAGATTAAAAAAAAGGAGACTAACCCCTCCCTAACTTGGGCGATAGCCTTGTCGTCAAGAATGGGAATTTTCCAATAGTAACAAATCTGGGATAACTACCGAAAAGATGGTGGAAGAGAAATTCTTATCAGCGACGAGATAGCATCTAGTTCTTGTCTGTTGTTGTCGGTATGCCGCAAACCCCAAGGCGCAAGGGTCGAAACAGGACTGAACTGGTTGGGGGGGAATGTTTTAGGCTGCTTAGTTGTCGAAAATGCGCTAGAAGCAAGGCAAATTAGAGATGTTTCCCGTTTCCCAGAGCTCTAAAAAAATTAAAAAGCTGTAGTGGAGGTCAAGCCGCAGACTGGTAACAGAAGGATGGGCCCTTATGTAATCATTTTATGCACCTGCCTCGTCTGCAGTTTTCTTCTTTTTATGTTGATGCGCCACTTTTCTCAAGGTTTTCTTAACGTCTCAGCAGCTTTAGGCGGCGTAGGTGGGTCCAGTCTAGCAAGGGCCGGGCGGATAGGTGCGTTGGGTACATGCAAGTACCAAAGGTAGTGAATTGAAGTAACTCGACGTCTTTATCATCTTCATCCAAGTCTATGAGCTTACGTTTTCGGCATCGAGTTTACACGTAAATATTGTTAATATAACTCCAGCACGTACATACTAGGTATGGTTTATGCTATTCTCTATTTACTTATATTATATTTGTGAATAGTTACTAAAATTAAAGCAGATATGTTTTCATATTTAAACCTTTGTCGAGTATCGTATGTATCCGCTGAAGCTCACGATATAAGTGAATTACCTTCACAAATTATAAAAGTCTTTGTTGTTTTGTTATATCGTCAAACCGGGTAACTATAAGCATAAGTGGTAGAATCACATACAGAAGCAAACATCCAGCCCAAGTACCTTACAATAATTCTACATCACTTGAGCATAGACTCCCTTAGTTATACGGAAAAGGGGAAGTTTATATATTCTAACACCAACTCGAAACTAATACACAATCCAACTCAGGACTAGAATGTAACTTCAAACGGCCCATCAAGAGGCCACGACCCATTCCGAATAATAGGCTTCTCGTCCCCGAGGACCACCACGCTCTCCACCACAACCTCAGTCTCATACCCAAACGTGCCATCAGCCTTGAAAGTCGTCCCATCCCACGTGAACTGTATATCAGACATATCATCACCCACATCCAAGCTATCCCCATCATCCAGATACAGCGACCCCTTAGCACTCCCATCCAACCCCGGAGCCACCAGGACCCGGAACCCCTTCCGCCGCAGCTCCGCCGTGGTGTTCGCCGCCTCCGCCCGCAGCGGAACCACCGTGCCCCCGCGTATATGCACCGGGATATCCGTCCACCCGACCCCGTCCTGCGTAACATTGGCCCCTTCCCCGCGGACCCGCTGCAGCGTCCAGAAGTCGTAGAACACGTCGTCCGGCAGGTAGTACGTCACCTCTTCCGCGTAATCCTCCACAGCAGGCGAGACCAGCACCGCGTCCCCGAGGAAAAACTGCGTCTCGATGCCGAACGCCGCGCTGTCGTCCGGATACCCGAAGAACACCGGACTAACCACCGGCGCGCCCGTCGCGCTCGCCCGGTACGTCGCCGTGTACACGTAATCCAGCAACCTGTACCTCGCACCGATGCCCTTTCTCGCGGCCTCCGCGACCTCGTCCCAGAGGTAGAATTCCTGCGGGGGGGAGGACATGTCCGCGTGGTTGCGGAAGAACGGCATGAAGGCCCCGAGCAGCGCCCACCGCGCGCACATGCGCGCGTCGGCCGCGCCGTTGAACCCGCACACGTCGGACCCGGCCATCGGGACCTGGTGCAGGGCGGCGAAGGCGAGGAGCTGCGGGATCGACGTCCGGTAGTCGGCCCAGGTGGAGTTGTTGTCGCCGAACCAGTGCGCGGCGCGGGAGCCGGCGCCCGCGAAGGAGGAGCGGGTTAGGACGAAGGGGCGCGAGTGCGGGCGGCGGGAGAGTAGGGCGGCGCGGGTGGTGGTGATCATGGTCAGGCCGTAGAGGTTGTGCGTGTCGTATTGGTGCGTGCCGTCCGCGTTGGTGATGTTGGTGTAGAGCGTGAAGTCGCTGAGTTCCCCCTTGTGATTGTTGATGCGGTACTTGGGAGTGAACAGGTCGCGGCTGGGAAGACCTTTCATTTGGCCCCCGGCTGTCTGTCTCGACAGGAGAGTTCCGGGTTGGGTGGGCGGGCCCGGTTGAAAGTCGTCCGGAAACCCGGGGATTGGTCTCCCGGTGTTGTTTCGGGGAGGGTTGGCCGGTTGGGGTGGGTTGTTGCTTAGTTTAGCTACAAGCGCCGGGTCGCAGGTGATGTTCGGACAGAAGTTGGATGCTTCGTTCATATCATTCCAGGCCCCGTCGATATCAATACCGGTTTCCGGATCGAAAAAGAGCGAAATCTCGTTCGTCCACCAGTCTTGTGTATTTGGTGCAATCCAATCCGGCCAGACAACCTCACCAGCCCACTGTACTCCTCGATAATCAGACCCATCATCAGCTTTGAGAAAGACGCCTTTCTCCTCGCCTCTGGTGAATGTTGAGTAGTTATCAGCCCTATGAATGCCAGGATCAAGCATCATAACGTAATGTTGACCCCTTGAGTGTAGGGTATCGACTAGCTCTCGCATTTTATGCAAGGGAAACCGCTCCGGGTCTGTAGTGAAAACCTGTCGAAGATCCATATAATCGATATCGCCCCATAGTGTCTCGAGGGGGATATTTGCTGCAGAATAATTCGCAACGACTTCTGCTACATAATTCACATCCCAATACCCGTACTTACATTGGTGGAAGCCAAATGTCCAGTAAGACATCATAGCAGGCAAGCCCACAACTTCGGCATATTGTCGACTAACATCGGGAGGACTAGGCCCGGCTAAGAAATAGAAATCCAATACACCACCGATGATGTTGTACTCAAGAAACTGGTCACCTGAATCAGTTTGGTCTATGTTGATGTCCATCCCATTAGAATTTAGGAGGAAAACACCATGAGAACCCGAAGCACCTCGATGATCAAGGTAGATCGGATGAGTTCCGTAGAGATTTGAGCGACGCGGAATAAACGGCGACTCGGAGTTCCAAAAAGTGCGTTGGTATTTCTCAGTCGGAAGTCGAAAGGAGTCTGTGTGTTCTCCCAGTCCGTATATGTTCGGATTTCTAGGCAACTGGGTTCTAAGATAGACAAACTGGGATTCGATGATTAATTGAGTGCCATTTGTATTAAATAGGACCTCTCCTGAGCTTGATCGTGTAATGGAAAAGGAGAAGGGTTCTTCTATAAGTGAAAATCGCAGAGCGGCAGCAGACGATGACACATTTTGGCTAGACGGTCTTGGGAGTATATGCTCCTGGACTTGGTATACATCAAGGTCGGCATCGTATATTTTTACATGTAATCTGGTATCTATAGTGTTGTATCCATAATTAGTATCTAATTGTCCAGAATTTGACGTAGATATGAATAGCATACTAGTCTGATGCTCGACAAGCAACTTGAGATCGGGTAGGTCTGTTCCGTAAACGTTGCACGCGTCACCAGAGAGCGACAAGTCCGCAGTGAGCGTACCATCTGCATCGACGATATTTGAAGCCGTATATCCTGGACAGTCCTCGATAGACGCCGAGAGAACACTAGACACAAAGGCTACAAGAGTAAATAACAGCTTCATGATGACATGATCTACTTTGTCTTCACTAAGCTCCCCTTCTTGGGGGCTTCAGATTTATATAATTGCCTACATTACGTACAAACAGACATTACAGTCACGAGCTGGCGATCTCAAAGCCGAAGTGCATAATGTGTAGATAGCTACCTATTTTTAGTAGGCCGGGTAGGTAGATCACCTCCATAGACGAGACGTGCGTCTGCGGAGCAATGCGCGAAATACGAATATATGCCGACTTCTTATTCGATATAGCAGTTGGGGTTATTGGAGTCACTCCCTGATATACTTGTTTTTTCTCGATGATACCACCTCCTGTCTGTTGATTATCTACATGTATGTACCTTACGTATAGTAAATAGGTACCTGATGCACGCTTACGTAGCATGCGTCTTAAAGCATTAGGTATTGAAAAGATTAAGACTGAAGAAGTGCAGGGTTGAGTTCGGGTGATGCATACCTAATTCAAGGATATGTCGATAGGAACCAAGTACATTAGCGGGAAGGGGGTCTGGTGGCTAGGGAGGGTAGTACGGCCGCAGGTGGTTAGGGAAGGTGGTGTGGTCAGACGGGGGAACGTGGTTATGTAGGGAAGCCGCAGCCAGGGGAGCCGCGGCGGGGCCCGTGTATCGGGGGGCCGTTTGGCATACCCGCACGCGGCACGTGATACGGGTAAAGCCCGGGGCGCAAGGAATTTTGTAAACTCAAGGCCTTTGTGCACTACACACAGGGTGCTTGATGTGGGATAACGCGTAGTATAATTTCGTAACATAATACTTAGCAGTTGAAGCTCTGTATCAAATACAGAGCTTTCAATATTTTTATTTTTTTATTTTTATACTGCAGGTTTGGATGTCCTTATACGGAGCATATATATAGCCACGCTGCAAGGTGACAATATTTCAAGGGGCAACCAATCAGTTGAGGGACTAATTCTTAACATACGCTCCACGGCCGTTATGTCCACACCCTACAGGTATTGCTAACACCTTGTCAAACACCCCCCCTCCACATGATGTATCCTAGGGCCATCGTAGCGAGATTTCGGTCCAAGGAACCCCGCTGGCCCCAATAAGAACTTGAAGGTGTGTGTGGACATAAGCTAGCCTACTACTTAGACCCTAATGAAAGCCGGCACACTCACACAGAGCATGGAGATCGTCGGCTCTCTTGTTCTAACAAATAGAAATCGTCTTGGTGGCTCAGTTGGCTAGAGCGTTGGTCTCATACTTCTTCTTCGTATGACTCGATTCAACAGGATTGGGCAATCCAAAGGTCGTGAGTTCGAGCCTCACCCAGGACATCGACGATTCAATTTTTTGTCAATTTTCTTTCCTTTTTGTTCTTTCCTTTTCTTTTCATCTTGTCTGGTGCATTTTACCATAGTACGATGACCTTGGCCAAAAAAAGCCTCCCCATTTGGAACTGCGATGTACTTAAGTAAGCAATTACTCATGCTGCATATGCGGAACTTTTAGTCCGGAACTTTGTTTATTAAGTGCATTTTCCAACTCTTTGCTCATATCATATTCAACATATGCCTACATGTATATTTATAGAGCAAGACATTTTAAAGAATTATATCTTGTACGCCATGTAGAAATTACAATGATCTCATGTAACGTACAGGAGTATCAACTGTGAGACAAAAACGGTGTTCACTAACTTGGTCGGAAATTGAGTGCTTTGCATTTTATAAATTCAGCGAAACACCGTTAAAGGTAGTAAGTAAACTTGACTTATGCCTTATAGGATGTCCTACTGGATTCAAACCGTACTGTCTTGTCTAACCAGACCTGGTAAAACCATTAAGGAGATACTAGAAAGTGTAGACTACGTTCCGCAATATTTGGTAAAGTGGTGATACGCACAAGGGGCTCGTTGCATTTTAATAGCGAACCAAAGTTCCGACTTAGAAAAAAAAATCACTCTTCCATGAGAACCGATTACCAACCTAGAGTACATGATTTCCCATCCATTAGTCTATGACGAGAAACCGTTCCAGAGCGTACAACATATGCAGCAAAAAGTAATACAAATGCGGATTCTTGCTCAGTCGTCACCATATGCCCCTTTCTACCACTTTTGTCACACATCCCCCTGACTGCCTTAGAACTCCTAGTTCCTTGTCTTCGATTGCCAGGCTAGCCTTTGCCGTAATTTGAGTCGTATGTAGTATTTGTTCGGACCGGGGTAGCCCGTAAGAAGAGGGCATATCAAGAGTATTCGGAGATAACCTAATATCCCCCCTTATCCTCGAGCTACCGCGTCGAATAGAAAGCCACTATGGGTGTTTACCGAGGCTCCTTTAGCAGCTGACGTCGACACCAGCCTTAGAGTTCATGAGAAGAGCCACGATGAGACCGTAGAGACCCAAGACTTCAGCGAAAATGAGGATGAGAATCATGCCAACGAAGAGTCTGGGTTGCTGAGCGGTTCCTCGTACACCTGCGTCACCAACGATACCGATAGCGAAACCAGCAGCCAGACCAGCAAGACCCACCGAAAGACCCGCACCCAGTTGAATGAACCCAGTATAAAGAGGGAGCACTTGATTCAAACCATCGGAAATCAAGACTGAGACGACGAGGCCGTAGATACCAATGATACCAGCCATAATGACGGGAACAATGTCTAAGGAAGTTAGTATCATTACCTAGGTAAGATGAATTGATGACCGGAGATGGCGCGTACTCTTCACGATGAGATCGGGTCTCAAAACACCCATAGCCGCAATACCAACACCGGACTTGGCGGTTCCGTAGGAAGCACCTAAGCAGGTGAAGACGATAGCTGCTGTGCAGCCCATGGCGCCGAAGAAGGGCTATCGGAGGTTAGTTTTCCATACCGAATCGCATTCGTCTCGAAACTTAGGGGACAGAGAGATGCTGTTTATGACGCGCGCGCCAAGGCAAGGGTAAACTAACCGCGTAGACCGGGCTATAAAAGAAACTATTAGCATATTGGATTCAAGTAGATATAAGTTTGATAGCAATAGAAACGCTAATTCCTCAGGTTTGCGATGATGACGATGATAGGACATAGGTAAGGAGGCAATCATCAATTACGTACCAAGCTTCAGAGTATGACATTGTGACGGCGGATGTAAGTGTTTTGAAGAAAAAAAAAAAAATCAGGAATAAGGAAAATCGAAATGATAGACTTTTAAGGCAGATAGATAAGAGTGGTAGACTAAAACCGGTCGTTGATGGCGAAGCTTGCGAATTTGTGGTTGTTATGGAAGGTTGCTAAGTTGGTCTAGTAATAAAAGGCAATGGAGGTATTACGGGGAGAGGTGTTGCTTTGCCTCGTTCCAGGTTTGCCTTTGATTGGGGGTTTGATTTTGCAGCTCCAGGTCACCTGCAGCATCGATTATGTCAGCGAGCTCCGGTATAAGGTTTCACCGAGAACTAAATCTCTTGGCGTTTGGAAGCTTGGACCTTATCTAAACATTTCTAGTAGTTATTTTTTTTTTCTTGAACCTTTTTTTTTTTTTGGCTGCGATCTTAGAGACTTTTGACTCGTCAACCTTTTACCCATTATTTCACATATTCCTCTTCAGGGCGAGCAACCGCAAGGAACCCTGCTCCGTCACAATGTCTGCTAACCAGGATCAAAGTGCTGGTAAGTTCTAATACGGCTATCTTTTCTGATCGTGGATAATTGTGCTGACCTATCATCAGCATGGCCTGTTGCCGATGCTTCTCTCACCCAGGAGATTCTCGATCTAGTGCAACAAGCCGGCCGTGAGTATACATCGCTTACCCTCGTCGAAATTCTTCTCGCTAATTGCGCGTCAATACAGATGCCCGTCAGCTTAAGAAGGGAGCCAACGAAGTGACCAAGGCGCTGTCCAGAGGTATTGCTGAGATCGTAATCCTGGCTGCCGATACCACGCCGCTTGCGATTCTTCTGCACCTTCCCCTACTCTGCGAAGACAAGAACGTGATCTACTGCTACGTCCCTAGCAAGGTTTGTTGATAATCATCTTGACTATACTGCAAAGTGCTAACCGTTAGTCAGATTGCTCTTGGCAGAGCCTGTGGTGTGTCTCGAGCTGTGATTGCTGCTAGTATCCTTTCCAACGAGGCAAGCGACCTATCCGGCCAGATCCGCAGCCTGAGGGACAAGATCGAGCGTCTCATGATTTAAGATACCCCTCGAGCTAGGAAAGATTCGGTGTTATATTGGGGAGATATACCGGTCTGAAAGCTATAAATCTGTGGCTTGGAGAAAATAGATGCGGATAGAGAATATAATCTGCAGCACCATCCAACCCAAGTTCCTCGATTCATTATTCGCTATAAAGTGCTGGCCCTATTTTTTTTTTTTCTCAACCCTGTGCTTCATCACTAACTGTGGCATGCCTGGCATTGCCCGTGTTTTAAGCAGTCCAGGCTGTTAAGCTATTGGTACAGCAAAACCTTAATATATTTGTACCTGCGTATGTTACAATGAGGTACTGCTGCATCTGCGCGTCCTAGACCAACCAGGTCTTAGAGCACTTGGCCCCCACCGTGTGACGGCATCAGCAACCCCACCAAAATTAAATCATTCTAAGACATCATTGGTAAAAGACCCTGAATATGACTATATCACTTTCTGTATCACTTTCTAAGCTCAATACAATTCTATTCATTCTGGTTATTTAGGTATAGTAGAGTTCTCTTTACCGGCTTATAAATATTATGATCGAATGTTTAACTGCCAATAATGCCTAATCTAGCCCGGAAGCTGCTTATATGCGCAGCTGTTGATGGCCTCATAATCCAACCTCTTGCGACAAAAGGCCAACGGACTTCTGCGCCAGTCAAAATCAAGTATGGAGATGCGACAGTATCTTCACTACCTCGCGATCAAACACCGGACACCACGAAACCCAACTCGTCCTTCGAAGCTTTTGGGGTTGTAGGTTCGTCTTGCCTCGCATAAACGACACCTTGCAAACAGATATTCGAAGTAGTTTCTAATCGAGCTTCTTTATTAGGGCTCTTCACTGTCTCTCGCCTAAGCTACCTTATTACAATTACCGGTCGCCAGCAAGTCGCGCAGGTTCGTGGCTTTCCCGTCTACGTTGTGACTGACGTTGCGCTCACACCGTGTGCGAGTCGGAGCGAGGCCGAATCAGCTATTGCGAATACGGCAACGAAACTGCGAAGCGCATCGGGCGAAAAGGCTGTCGAAGATAGCGATTCGGAGAGCGAAGTAGACGCCCGTTCGGTAACAGGCGGCGACGACGCAGAAGACCCAGGCGCTTTAAGCGATCGTGGAAGCGCCGACGGCAATGATACGCCAGGAGCAGGCGGGGAAAAGAGCAGCATAGCCCAAGATGTCATAAAGCGCCGCGGGAGCTATGGGCGATTCGCCCAGCGCTGGTTCAGTCGTAAAGGCTGGATGATGGACCAAAAGCGAAACCTAGGCATGACTAGTGTTGAAACTGACCAGGTCGGTGACCAAGCTGGCGACGAGAGTAATAAGGCGAAGAAGGGCGATCCAGACAAGGAACTGAGCGATACCGTGGTACAGGAGAAGGTTGATCCGCCCTCAACGCCGTCAGCTGGCGAGAGTCTAATACCCAAACTACTGCGCTTCTCACATATCTGGCTCGGGACGTCCAGGAGTTTTTTCTTCTCCTATGATTTCGACCTTACGAGGAGCCTTGCTGGTCACTCTACGACATCAGCCGCAGAAAACCTTCCACTCCACGAGGTAGCAGATCCCACGTTCTTCTGGAACCGCAATTTACTCAAGCCATTCCATGGGCATGGCGAAGAATCGTTATTACTGCCGGTAATGCAAGGTTTCGTGGGGCAGAGGAGGTTTGTCGTGGATCGACATCCACCTCAGGTTGATTCCCAGGAAGATTCCATGGAAATGAATGATATGACACCTCCTCCATCGGAGTCTAATATTGAATTCCCCTCACCAGAGAGAGCAACCAGTGATCTGAAACCGTCCGAGAAGGATTTTGTTATTACCATTATTTCCAGGAGGTCGACTAGGCGAGCAGGACTGCGATATCTGCGGCGTGGCATAGACGACAACGGCTACGCTGCCAATTTCGTCGAGACAGAACAAATACTTTCAACTCCGACATGGAGTCCATCATCCAAAGTTTACTCGTTCGTTCAGGTGCGAGGTAGCATACCGCTTTTCTTTACACAATCGCCATATTCTCTTAAGCCAATTCCGGTACTACAGCATTCTCCAGAGGCAAACTTTAGAGCATTTACAAAACATTTCGAACTTATGAGCAAGGCATATGGATCTATACAACTAGTGAACTTAGTTGAGAAGCACGGT